TAGCTTAAGCTGCCCCAGAAAGAACAGCACATAGGCGAAATACTCATTTGAATGCCTCTACGCGTCCAATGCATGACCTTTCTCATTAGAGTTGGGGGAAAGAGAGCTGTTGGGGGGAGGGGAAAGGAGGGGGGGGGGGGGAATTCCTAGAAGTCAAGCTCTCCATCTGAAGTCTGTCTTGTCCCAACTTTTCCATGTACCTTCGATAGGTGTAGTTGAGGAGCTCTATGTTACGGCTTCGTTGGTAAAAGGGCCATTGGAGGGGAGCTTACTTTCGCGCCAGGACCCGCCTGGTTTCAGGGGAAGAGGTGCAATTTGCGGAGTCGACTGGTGGGGAACTAATGGCAGATTATGCGCATCGCCGTAGAAGGCTCTGCTCGGCTTGGAAGCGGCATATTCCATCTTTGCGAGTTCCTTTTGGTAGTATATGTTAGCCAGCGGGTCTCATTTCGGGAACACCTCTAAGCTCATGTAAAGCTGCAAAATGTTACAGGTGGGCCATTTCGGCTAGGAAATTTAGTCTTCACAAAATGACCCGTACAGACTTTGCTAAGTACTATTTGATGCCCCCCCCCAAGCCGAACGGCGCGTAGGCACATATTCTCCATAATTGACTGATGATGGAACCACTGGTTGTTTCACACAGATACCGTCTTCCACACGTGTTTGACGGCACGAATCACATGCTTTTCAACGGCTCTCTGTTCTTCCATCGAGCTGGTTTTCCACGAATAGGAAAGTTTGAGCTGACCACGGGACGCTACGATGAAATCGAAATTCCTGGAGCTGCTCACCAGGGTAACAATGTCAGTACTTCTTTTTTACTGAATCAGCTATTTATTCTTCTGTAGAGTATAAAGGCTGTTCTGTTCAGTACCTCTTCAATAAGTCGCTGAACTATTTCGATTTGGCTATCGACGAGAATGCGCTCTGGATTCTGTATCACTATGAGAGGGAAAAATTCCTCAGTGTTGCTAAGGTGAGCTAGATCCTCATTTTCATTCAGTGTTCAAAAGCCTCAAGCTGTCG